GCCAAAGGAGTGTTCCAGTTTCTGGAACATATCTGTGAGGTCCTTCTTCGAGGGCAGTCGCGTGATTAGTGCCCTGATGTCGGATTCGTCCCCCGAGCCCTCAGATGGAGCTGGGCTGGGAGGCTGGCTGCCGCGTGTGAGGGCCGCAGGCGCCATTTTGGATGTTTGGTGTACCTCCGTTTGTTCGGCAAAGAACCTCCTCAGAGAGGACTTTGCCGGCGGGATGTCCGTCGATGGGGTATTCCCCGTGGTGCTGCGTGATTTTTTTGTCGCCATTGCCGCTTGTAAGACCGGGGGCTGCTTGTTTTCTCCTATCCGGCATGGAGCTCCGTTACTGTGCTGCCAGTCTCGTCGGAGTCTTGGCCACGCCCCCTGTCTGTATTTATGTGTGTCATGTGTGTGTGTGTGTGTGTCTGTATGTATGTAGGTATGTATGTGTGTGTCTGTCTGTGTGGCTGTCTGTTCTTATGTATGGATGTGTGTGTGTCTGTCTGTCTGTGTGTATGTATGTATGTGTGCCTGTCTGTCTGTGTGTAAATGTACCTGTCTGTCTGTCTGTATGTATGTGTGTGTCTTGTCTGTATGTATGTATGCCTGTCTGTTTGTATGTATGTGTGCCTGTCTGTTTTTATGTATGTATGTGTCTTTGTATGTATGTGTGTGTGTGTGTGTGTCTGTATGTGTGTTTGTATGTATGTGTGCCTGTTTGACTGTTTGTATGTATGTGTATCTTGTCTGTTTTTATGTGTGCCTGTCTGTATATATGTGTCTTTGTATGTATGTGTTGTGTGTGTGTGTGTGTGTGTCTGTATGTGTGTGTGTCTCTGTATGTATTTGTATGTGTGTGTGTCTGTTGGGGGGGAGAGTTAGATAGTTGTGTAATATGGCGGCGTTCAATTTCCATTGGCCTTTGCCTTGTGCGAGAGATGGTATCCGCAATTGAATATGCATCAGGGAGTGATCAGACCATGTGATGTCACCGATAAATGCCTTAGTGATGAGTGAAAGATCTCTTTGTGTGGTGAGGAAGAAGTCTTTTCTTGTGTAGGTGGAGGCTGGCCTCTAGTAAAACGTGTAAATCTTTGTGGTGGGATGGAGTGCCCTCCAGCAATCAACCAACTGATAGCTATGAAGAAGGCGTTTCATTTGTGCCCTTGTGGAGGCTAAATGCGTAGAGTGTGGGACAGTGATGTCTTTCTGGGTTAAAATCGCCCTCTCTGATTAGGGTCACTGTGGTCTGTTTTTGGGCCAATACAAAAGTTAATATGTGCATAAATTCTGACTTTTTACAGGAAGTGTGTAGGGAGACTATGTGAGTGTCAGCCAGGGTAGGTGTGACTAGGGTGCATAAGCAAAGTGATTTAACTTCTAAATGGCAGAGTGACACCAAAATTGCTTCATTAAGCTGAAGTTGTTTTGGTGCTTCAAGTGTCCATTTAAGCACTTAGCATTTAGGTGATAAATAAACCAGTTGTTTAAAAATGCAATACATATTACTATATAAAAAGAATACATACTTATTGTACTGAGTTACGCAGCTGAGAGATGGTGAGGGATTTGGTGCAAGGGGACTCTTTATGCCACTCGAGGGAAGCAGGTGACCTCTGACAGCACAAGGGAAGACTACACTGTCAAGGCAGTCATCAAACTACATTTCAACAAAACATATAGAGACGTATTTCCCATAGAAACTGTCAGTCACCCGTCCTTCTTGGGTTTAAAAAGTCTTGAATTTCAGATAGTAGAATACTTTACTAAAGGAGGGGTAAGGAACAGGACTGTGTGCCTCAGAGGAGAGAGACAGGAGGACAGATTCTCTCTGAAAATCAGGAGAGAAGAGTGAAGTCTGTTGCAGCGAAAAAGGAGAAGAGACAGATGGATCTTATGGGAACGTTGAGAAGAGAACTATAAAATTAAGGAAGGGGTAAAGAGAGAAAGAGGGGCCCTCTTTGATTTCATGTGCCTCATACCAGACACTGTCTAGACTACAGCAATTATTGGCAAAGCAGAACACCCAGGCTTTGCCGTTTTAACTGAAAGGGAGCTTAACAAAAAGCAAAAAAACAGTACGAGAGCACACTGCTGCCAGCAGAACTACTGCTTGTTGCACTCAGATCGGGGAGGGGTGAGAGATGGGGTGAGAAGATCTGATTTGCTCTCCATCAGTCCAGAAAGGACGCAAAGCTATATCGGATGTCCGTATAAACTATATTCAATAGAAACTTGAACTTTGCACATTTGGCAATATTATTTATGCATCTTTAGGGCAGGTTTTTATTATTAGTGTTTTTATTATTTATAAAGCACCGAAAAAAATATGAAACAAATTAGCAAAATAAACAGAAACAAATGATCTTGCAGTCTATGAATACATACATCCACCCCGTATGGCCATGTGGCAATATTGTAACGGAATATGGGGTAAGGGGTAATATTCTAGACTATAATGTTACCGTGAAACAATCGTCTTTTATGAATGCACAGTAAAGGACAACTACAGGGTGGGCAAGAGGTACAGCTGCAGGATAGCAATAGATTATTACCACTATACATCCAATCCTATAAATTAGATAATAAAGTAGTTTGACTATTTGGTAAAGGGTAAAACTGCACCTAAATCCCAAGGACCCTTTCTTCTCTGCACTCCTTCCTGAGAGCGATATATGTCGGTAGCGCTTTTAAGGATGAGAAGGAATAATATTCCACAAGGCACTAGGCAGATTTCAAGTTTGGGCCCCCTTCAGTCATAATTTTTCACATAGGGCCAAGCAAATTCATGATTTCCGAGACCTCTGTCTAACCTATGGTTAATCCTGCTCTGTTTGAAGTAAAGGGGACCCACAAACACTAAGCACCCCTTAACCCTAAGCCTCCTGACCTGAAACACCCCATAGCCCTAACTCCCTATAATCATGCAACATGGGGTACACTGGTGCACTCTGACCTTCATTTAAATGCCTTATATGCAGTTATTTAATAATGATGTGGCATTTTTAGCCTCTTAAGGACATATGACGGAAATTTTCCGTCATGTTGACCTTTTACTTCTGAAGATGTGTCTGTCCTTAACGGTTTAGAAGCCCAATGTTATTATCGAACCAGTTTTTTTTTCAAATGTCTTTTAAACTCAAGCCAAGGTTTTTAAAGTAAATCCGGTAGATCACAAACCCTTCCTACTCCATCAACACTAAGTGAAATGGGGCTGTTATGTATTTTTTGTAACAGTTTAATTTTCTTTCAACCTCCGTAAATAATATTCCCATGATTTGCCAGTAGGCAGTTCCACACAAATACAAGTCTAGCTAGTGCTAGAAGGTCAACCCTGACTACACATGGGAAATGTTTCCATTTTTACAAATGTTTTAATATAATTCCTAATTTAATATCTGCATATGGGTTTACTTGTGGAAAGATAAAGGGAGAGATTCCAGTACTTTTTGACTCTCATGTGCATCCTTCAAACCATGGAATAAGCAGGCACATTGATAGAGGGTGGTAGGGGACTCCAGCACCCAACGTGAGGCTCTTTAGCCCCGAATCTTCTTGTTACCGGAGTATTGCATTGTTAGTACTGCTCTTCCTGCCCAGTCTGCTCCATGAATCTCGACGTGCTACTAAGAATTTCAGAGCAGAAAAGGCAGGGAGATGAGTACCGAACAGCATACAGTTAATAATTTGGGTCACTGAGCTGCCTATTGGAGAAAGCAGAATTGGACTAAAGTGCAGCACAGTTTAAATAGAGGCACAGGTAATACGATATCATATTCCCAGGCCTCTATCATTGTGTTGCTCCCAGTGGAGACTCATGGAGGAAACCGCCAGCTGGGTAGCATGGGAGCAGCATGGGAGTAGCATGGCGGCATTGTGAACTATCTGAACAGCTGCCTCTGTCTGCCTTCTTCCCACCATCAGTAAACAGTAAATAGTACTGTGCTCACATGGCCTGGAGGTAAAGTGACAATGCTAATATTTTTGTGCAGTCTGATCTTAGGGGGGGGTCTGCCTTGACGTTGGCAGGCGGGCATTCCCTTCAATGGCCATTGGAGTAACTAAATTTGTCTAAATATACATAGGGATTAAGGAGAGAGTGTAGGTAACTTTTTCTTTCTTTGGTTTTTACTATGTATTGGGGCTGATGTGTACTGTGGTCATTGCTGCCGCCCAGGAGTGATGGGAGTGAGCACAGGACTTATTTTTTTGTATTTGTATTTACTTTTTGTATCACACAGCTTTGTTACAATGCTGCCGCCCATCCCAAATGTTCCCTATTAATAAGTATATAGGGGGTGTATCTAAAAATACCCCTCTCTGTCTCATTGAAGAAATCTTTGCCAGAAGTTCAAGGAAGCAAGGTGAAGGGTCAGTGTAGGACCTGCTTAGGGACGTCTGCCTTGACGTTGGCAGGCGGGCATTCCCTCCAATGGCCATTGGAGTAACTAAATGACCTCCATTTGTCTAAATATACATAGGTATTAAAGAACCCCTATAGTGCCAGGAAAACAAATTTGTTTTCCTGGCACAATAGTGCCCTAAAGGTGCCCCCATCCTCAGGGTCCCCCTCCCGCCGGGCTGAAGTTGGAGGAAGGGGTTAAATCACTTACCTTTCTCCAGCGCCGGGCTCCCTCTGCGCTGGGTACTCTCCTCCTCCTTCGGTTGTCATCGGCTGAATGCGCGGCAAGAACCGCGCGCGCATTCAGTCAGTACATAGCAAAGCATTCTCAATGCTTTCCTATGGACGCTGAAAATCACAGTGAGAAGCGCGGAGGCGCCTCTAGCGGCTGTCAATGAGACAGCCACTAGAGGCTGGATTAACCCTAATGTAAACATAGCAGTTTCTCTGAAACTGCTATGTTTACAGCAGGCAGGGTTAAACCTAGATGGACCTGGCACCCAGACCATTTCATTAAGCTGAAGTGGTCTGGGTGCCTATAGTGGTCCGTTAAGGAGAGAGCGCAGGTAACTTTTTTTTCCCCTGATCTTAACTCTGTCTACCATCAGAACTAGTATCCTTCTTTGTAGTGAGTATATCTGTGTGTGTCTCTGAGTCTATCTTTTCCTGTTTGTGTCAATCTGTGAATATGTTTGTCTGTGTCAGCGCATGTCTGCGTGTGTGTATGTCTGCCTTTCTGTGTCAGTGCAGGATTGTCTGTGTGTACTTGTATGCACATGTTTATAGTTCAGTGTGCCTGTGCGTATGTGTTACTGTGTGTTCATGTCTTTTAAGTAAGGTCTGTACTTCCTGGGAGGGAGGGGGGCATTTGTACTGTATTAGCCCAATGCTGCAGATGCCCATGCAACTAAAGATTCATGGCGATCAAATAGTAGAAAAACCCTGGGGTAGCAGGAATAGTGAAAAACTCTGTTGTAGCATACCTGCCAACTGTCCCAAATCTGGTAGGACAATCTTCATGTTAGGTCCTTGTGAAAAAAATCGTCATAAAGCCCAAGTGTCCCGACTCCTTTGGTGGCCATAAACCTTGACAGTGATGAGAAATGCATTGTTGGTATGCCTCTGTACCTTCCCTCAACACTAAACCTAGATTTAAAATAAACAAATGTTGGCAGGTGTGTATGTTGGGCTTTATTACCCCATGTGTTTGGAGGAAAAAATCTAAACAAATCTTACCCCAGAGTAGATTACGACAAATGAAACTCATCTCCAGGTCTCCATGTTGTTAGCACATAACTTCCTCATTTATTACACCCTGTTTCAATGCGACATATCATTCATTTACAATGAATATACAGAGAAGAATTAAGAAGCCCCCACCTTTATTCTTCAAACAGGACTGGTGATTGGGGCCAATGAAATGTATGGTTCTGGGGCCCTGTCTACTTCCTTGGCCATAGACGGCTGCCTATGGTCCCTCATTGGTTATCCCTGCTCTGCTAATATATACTAAATAAAACACGCCTCTAACATCTTTAATTCATGTTCTAGCACTCACACTCACATAGCTCACTCAAACCCAAGGGCATTTAGTGTCCAACTGTCCATTTAAGAGCCTTACTCCACTGGAAGAAACAGATGCGATGTGTATCACTGAAATTTATGTGAATTAGCCTCACACTGGAACAAAACTCTGCTAAAAATAGATACAATTGTTTAAAATAATGGCATCTGGGATTCCTCCCTATATCTGTTGGTCCTGTGAATGCTGTTTGCTAGAGTAAAGTATGAAAAAATCACTAACCTGGATTTCCTTAACCTTCAAAATGTATGTTTTAATATCCCCTTGACGGTCGGAACTCCGAAGCCCCAATTAATAGCATGAAATGTGATACATCCTCGTAATTTCTGCACCTTTAATGTTAGGATTCCTACACAGCAGCCTAATTTACCAATTGAACGATCCTAACAGCCAATTAATTAATCAATAATGAATTAGTCTAGTAAGCTGTTTCAGAGCCAACAATACAGATAGCAGAATTTCACAGGCAGCAGGCTGTGAAAGTGTGTGATTAGCCCAGTGGATGATGTGTGATAGATATGGACAGCAAATTGGGTAGAATGTTCTAGTTCTACAGTCATTTTAACAAGCAGCGCAATAGCATTCACATAGTCGAGGGCCGCCAGACTACCGCAACCCTGTTTTAATAAGAGTTATGTATAAATGGAAAGGCACACACACTAATATTGCAGACATTTTTGTCTGAGAAATACTGATGCAAAAAAAATTGGAGATCGTTTTCCAATCTTCAAACTGAGCAAGACCACCAAATGTTTGACTCACCTTGGTTGTCTTTCTCAATTATCAACAAAACTTCTCCAAAGTGCACCAACTTGCACAGAATCAAACTTGCACAGAATCAAACCATGAGCAATATTTTGTTTGATACGTAACATTCTTGTGTATTCTTTTCACAAATTCATTGGGCATAACCTAGAACAGGGATTCCCAACCCAGTCCTCAAGTACCCCCTACCAGTCCAGGATTTAAGGATTACCCTTGTGTCTAAAGTGTTTTTTTCCCCTTCTTTCTAAAAACACCTAGGACACAACTGGGTAATCCCTAAATCTGGTAGGGGATACTTGAGGACTGGTTTGGGAACCACTGACCTAGAACATTAAAAGTTAGTTTAGAGGGTCATAGATGGTTTCCTGTTAATATGCAGATGGGTTGTGATTGAATTTTCTTTCTTTTTAATTCACAAACATGAGAGGCTCCAGGCACCACAACTACTTCAATCCATTGACGTGGTTAAGTATCTCTTTAACATGATAATTATAACAATTCTTAGCAACTCAACAGGCTATTTTAAACAACTTTCATGGAAATATGCAATATGAAACACACCCATAAGACATATCCGCTGTTCCATAACTTGGTGGTTACCTTTCTGTCATCTAGATTAAAAATTAAAAAGAAGTCTTCAAAATATTCCTTCTTTTGACAAATAATCCTGAATTTCAGTGTTTGATCTACAAAATTGGCATGTAGTATCCCCACTGGCATATGGTTTGGCTTGTCGTAAAGACAAATTATCCAACGATGGAGAAAATTCTGTGTGGTGCATTACCACACTGCAAGATCCACTTACAATCTATCCAACCATTGCAAAGATTGTTCTGGCCACCGAAGTACAAATATTGAGCTCGTCAACTATCTTACCATGTTTCTGAAATTTTTAAAATTGCAACTGAATAGGACTATGGCTCCCCAGACTAGAGCTTTCTAAAATAAATTAAGCAGTTCACTGTTAACACATTAGTAAATTACAATCACAATAAATATAGACATTCTTAATTCCACCATTCTGATATTTTTGGACAGCTCTTTTACCAATATCTGATTGTTGAAAAAGGGCCATATACTTTATGTTAAAGGGTACCTGTCATGGTATATTTAACTTTTCTCTTTTTTAAAGAACATTAGATTTGAACTATATATTGTGTAAGTAGATTTGCTCGAAAATTTATAGATTGGGAGAAAAAATTATTTAAAAATAGTCTTTCTCCCACCTACCAGTAAATTCTTCAGCCTAAAAACAATTGACCGACAGAGAGAGGAAGAGGTCTTTTTACTCTCCAAGCATTACAATCAGGGTTGCTATTGTAACTCACTAGCCAGCGCTGTTAGACGCCTGGAAAGCAAGACTGTTGGTGTCACAGAGGAGGTCTTAGTGTCTTTTGGGTTAGTGTCTCCAAATCGAAGAAGACTGCAGACAGACCAGAGGTGGATGTTACAGAAGAGTAAGGCCTACAAAAAGAGGACTTGATGGCACTGGATCGTAGTAGAGTTTATGTCTATACATTTTACATTAAATAAATAATTTCTCTCTGTGATATATGATGTATTCAACACATTTGGGGGGAATCTATATTAAAGTGAATCTATCATTACCTATTCCTTTTAAGCACTTGTTACGGTAATCGCAATTCTGTCAAAAAGAAATCGGCAACACCAAAACATAACTATTGGATACTTGGTGAATTCAAGATCTAAAAGATTTGTGAAGTAATTGAAAACACCTTTCTATCTATTAACCAGTACTCTGATATTTAATATATGAGTTCTGCCCGATTTCAACTCGTTAACATAGTGTGACGTTGGCTGTATTATCGGCAACAACATGGTCTGTGAACTTTGGATTACGATTGCTTTGAAAAACTTGAATCTTGCAATTCCTGTTAGATCAGCAGGTAGCGTAGACCCTATAGAAACCCAGGATTCTCGTACATGCATGTTTCTCAACCCTTTAGTAGACATACCCCTGTTGATGTAGGACCCACCTAAGAGGTTTGCCTTGACGTGGCAGGTGGGCGACCATCTAATGGCTACTGAAGTGAAACAAAAAACCACAATTTATCTAAATATACGTAGGGATTTGGGATAGTGCTCAGGTAACTCTTTTCTTTATTACCCCAGTATGTCTAAAAAGGAGTCTTCAGCACGTCTATCTCATAAAAGTCTTCACTATGAGTTTAAATGTCCTTATATCAATAATCTTCTTTTTATTATTTCCATGTTCCTATTTTTTTCCCGTTGGTTTCCCCGTTTCTTTTACATTGCTCTCTTCTTCTTCCTCATTGCTCTCCTTTGAATCTTCTCCTGGTGTCTCTTCATTTCTTTTCTTTTGCTATCATTACCTCTCTCTAACCACTATATCACTCAAATTGTTTTTGGCAGTTCATAGAATGATTGTTTTAATTCAAAATATTGAGCCATTCTGCGTTGATTGCCGCTCTATCCCTTTTTCCTGCCCTAGTTTTGTATTAACGCTAAGTCTTGTTGACCTTTACTTCTAAATACACTATGAAAACGGAAAAACCTATTGATAATCCCTATCTAACTGCACACTACAAGCAAACAAAGAAATCTTAAATGAGATTTGAGTTGAGTTGACATTGAGTCAGAAATTTTCAAATATAAAGCACTTTTAACCCGTCACATGGTAGTGGTGGAAAACTTTAAACCAAGGGTGCCCAAAAGGTTGATCTCCAGATATTGTAGAAATACAGCTTCCATGATGCTTTGTCATTCTAGAGGCATCAAAAGCATCATGGGAGTTGTGGTTTTAGAACATTTGGGGACCAAACTTTTGGGCACCCTTGCTTTAGACAGATAATGTAGAAGTAAATCTTGCAGAGCCCAAATATTTGTAAAAAGTCTTAGAAATAGTTTGACAGAAACCGAGGCACAGGACCCATAGCCTCATTGCAATAAGCTCTAGAGGGTTTCTTGTTTAGAGTACCCCTTTAATTATGTGTAATGATATATTTTCCCTTTGGTTTTCTGAAAATGGTTTCTCTTTCTGCTCTTTTCCACCAACTCTGATATAACTTGGCTTCACCGGTTGGCTTGTTACAGTATAACTTTAGAAGTTTTAACAAGTTGCAGATATATCTGTGTTTGGTTTGCTTCTGGTATGCCTGAAATTTGCATATGCAGGTGTTTTTATTTCTCTTCTGGCAAGTCAAAATTCTGGCAAGTCGATATTGTTGGGTTTCGCCCATTATTTTTCCAGCTCATCCGTCTAATCCAAAAATCTCTCTCTTTTCACATCACTTGCCACGTGTTTGGAAATGCTATGTATCGGTGTTCTACATCCTTGACAGAGATCTTTTAGTGCTACTATTGGCTTCTCTTTAAAGCCTTTTTTCCTATTCTCAGTTAACAATGTTTTGAAGACAAAGCTTCTAGTTGGACCTTGGACAAGTTGTTTGGGTCAATGCATAGCTGCTGACCGAACTTCTTACTG